TGCTGATTTACAGCATCTGCAGTTCTTTTGGTTTTTATTTGGTATGAAATGTAACTTTTTAGACAATGTAGTTATAAAATGTGCATTCTTGTAGCATAAAACAGTTCAAATTTCTTTGGAGATCAAATTTAGGAAACAAAATTACATTATTTACAAAAGAGGTAAATATATTAAGGATGTGTTTCAAAATTGAATGTATGTTTGCCATATGATAATCAAGACAATGTACCTGTACCATTGGTATTCACATTATGAGGTGATCCTCCCAATTAATTATAATGATGATATTTTGTACACACCAATTAGAAAGACTCTAGCTTTTGCTAAATTAAAAACTATATTAGTTGTGATTTCAGCTATGATTAGGAATTTCAAACTGATGTATGGGTTACCAGGTTTATAAGCAGAACTAGATTGTTCTAAAATGAAAGCAAAAGACTGTGGGATTTGTAAATCTGAAATTAAAGCAGAAAATGATGAAAATTCTTAGAGACCAGGCAGCATCTGTGGAGTGAAGAACAGATTTAACATTTCAGATCAATGACCTTTCATCAGATATGCAATTTACGATAAACATGCCTTTTAATGATTCATTTCATAAGCAGAACTGAGCTAAAACAAGTGGCCCTGTAACACTGAACATAGCAGCCAGGGAGACTGGCCTAGACACCAATGGGTGGAAGGTATTTCCCTTCAAGTCATCGAGAGTTATGAGTCAAAAAATATCTTATTAAACACCGAAAGACCTGCAGATGCTGTAAATCAGAAACAAAAACAGAAATTGCTGTAAAAGCTTAGCAGGTGTGGCATACCTGTGGTGAGAAATCAGAGTTAAAGTTTCTGATCCAGTGACTCTTCTTCAGAACTGTTCTGAGGAAGGGTCACTGGACCTGAAACGTTGACTCTGATTGATCTCTACAGATGCTGCCAGACCTGCTGAGCTTTTACAGCAATTTCTGTTTTTGTATCAAAAAATATCTTCCCACTTTGAGGATGTGCACTGATTCCTGCATATTTTTCAAGTTTGTTTGTTTACAAAGTTCCTTACTGAAGTTTTTATAATGGTTCCTAGATGTTTTGTACACATCTCTAGGCCTGACAGCATCCATTTCCTGGTTCCTTTAACAGCTCTACCAGAAATTAGAACAAAAAAGCAAAATACACATTTTTTTATTAAGAAAACAGAAGTCTGAGTCTAACCTACTAGAGGTAGATAAATGGGTACAGAGAATATATTTCTACTTGTCAGAGAAGCCAAAATAAAAACACTTAAATATAACCTACAAAATCTATGAAAATCTATTAAATTAATAAATCTAAGAAGGAATTAGAGTGAAACCCTTTTACCCAAAAAGTGATTAAGATGGGAAACGTGGAGCAGTTGAAGTGAAAGGCGAAGATGCATTAAAGAGAAAATAAGATAAACAGAAGAGGAGGAGATAAAAAGATGTACTGATAAAGTAGACTAATTAGGGTGAGCCTTTCTGCTCCTATGATGCTGCTTGGCCTGCTGTGTTCATCCAGCTCTGCACCTTGTTGTCTCGGATTCTCCAGCATCTGCAGTTCCTACTATTTCTAATTAGGCTGACGATTGGAATGTGTGGAGCATGAGTACCAGCATTGACTATTTGGGCAGAATGATTTGTCTCTATGCTGAAAATGCTATGTAACTTTGCCATTGCTATTCATTGGTACAAGAACTGGGGCATCATGATATGGCTGTGCAGGACATTGGTAAGGCCACTTTTGGAATACTGCGTACAATTCTGGTCGCAACTCTATAACAGTCTTAACTCTTAGACCCTACAATTCACTCAGATTTTAAAATCAGATGTGAAATATAACAAACTAAGCATATATAAAACACACACAGACAATGCTGGAGGAAGTAAGTGGATCTACCATCATCTGTGGAGACAGAATGAGAGTTAACATTTCGAGTTTGGAATGACTCTTCTTCAAAACTTTTGAAGAGGATTCATATTAGATTCAAAATATTAAGCTCTGTTTCTCTCCTCAGAGATGCTGTCAGGCCTGCTTAGTTCCTCCAGCATTCTCTGTTTGTTTCAGGTTTCCAGAATCCAGTATTTTACCTTTACTAAAAAGAGTATACAAATGTTGTTATGAATAGTTGATATTTTAAATTTTTGTGTTGGTAATTGCTATGATGCAGTTAGGAATGTTAGGGATTCCAGATATTTAACAGTTGAATGATTACATAAAACATTGTAATGGATCATGATGCTGCAGTAACAATAAAAGTACAAGTTAACATTTGACACATGTATAATCAAGTAGGCTAGTTTGACAAAGCAAAATGAATGTATTCATGACTGAGTTCCAAGCGGGGAATCATATCACAGTACAGTGTTGTTGAATGGTCTAATTTATAATGCTTCAAGTCAGTTTGAGTTAAGCAGACATAATACTCAAATCCAGAACACGCGAAAGAACTCCACCAATTATGCAACCAGTTTGCTTCTTAATGTTTTAAACTTACTTGAAAAGCTCTGTAGCATAACAATTATTTTGCTGTCTTAGAAACTAAACATTTCTTCCTTGTCAGTTATGCTGCAACAAATCACAGCATCTCCAGATAATCCTACCTGAACATGAGTTTGAAGAAATACTATGTTCTCAATGACTTGGATGTGGTTTAAATCTTAGCCAAAGTGTCGATTGGGAGACTAAAAAATTTACAAGGCTTGTTGGCTAAGAGATGGATAAATTGAGCATGGCCCCTGCTCCTGAACAATTTGCTGTGAACCTGACTGGAACTAATTCCAGATCAATGACCATAAATAAATAAGGAAGATACTAGAGTCATACAGCACAGAAACAGACCCTTTGGTCCAACTTGTTTGCACCGACCAGACATCCCAATCCGACCTAGTCCTGTCTGCCAGCATTTGGCCCATATCCCTATAAACCCTTCTTATTCATATGCTCATCCAGGTGCCTTTTAAATGTTGTAATTGCACTTGCCTCCACCTCTTCCTCTGGCAGCTGGTTCCATATATGCACCACCCTCTGCGTGAAAAAGTCACCCCTCAGGTTTTTAAATCTTTCTGCTCTCACCTTAAACCTTTGCCTTTTAGTTTTGGACTCCACACCCTTGGGAAAAGACCTTGGGTATGCACCCTAACCATGTCCTTCATGATTTTATAAACCTCTTTAAAGTCACCCCTCAGTCTCCGAAGTTCCAGGGAAAAATGCTCACAACTATCCAGCCTCTCCACATAACTCAAACCCTCCTGACCCAGCAACATCCTTGTAAGTCTTTTCTGCACCCTCTCAAGTTTTGCAAAATTTTTCCTATAGAAGGGCGACCAGAATTATATTCAGTGTTCAAAAGTGGCTTCATTAATGTCCTGCATAGCCACAACATGACATCCCAACTCCTATACCAATGAAAGCAAGCATGCCGAACACCTTCACCAACGTCTCTACCTGCGACTCCACTTTCAAAACTATATCAAAGTATGTTTCCAGAGAAGATTGGTGAGAAGAGGAGAAAATTAAAAGTGCAGGAGGGACGTCAAAGAAAAATGTTCATATCACGAACATTATTGCCTCAATGTTCCTAGGGCAAGAAGGAAAGACAAAGAGAAAAGGTAACCACGGTTCTTAATCTTTGTAGTGTACAGGATTCCCTACCGGAAAATACAAAGACTAGATCTTGACTTTATGCAATTATGTTAAATGATGTCGAGTCAGCAACATATTTTATAACAGTTCCAACTTTTATTTTCATTTGCAGATATGCAATTGGTCATAGTACCTTAACACTGAGGGTTGGTTCACTATGTTTAAACAATAAGTCCCAAGTATCCACAGTGCCATCCATTTTAGTTGTGAAGAAAACAGATGGCCTTACAGGGCTCCAACAACCATCTGTCAGGTTGGACATGTGGTATCTATGACAAGAAAAATCAGAGAAGGTTTGACCAAGTAATTTTAAGCAATATTCTATTTTTCAGAGGCAAAACATCTGTAACCGTCCTTCTAGAGTATTCTATAGTTCTGCCAGCATTGCTACCAAGTACAGCAAGACTCTTGTACATTGAGTCTTGATCAACTCTGACAATTAATACATTACCTTGTCTGTGATGGACCTTCTGCCCCAAGATTACTTGTAATTGGGGGAAATCATAATTTTCCCATTTCCAGCCTGCAGGAAAGCAACATATTGGTATGATAACCTGAACTAGGTGCCCTGGCCTATAACTGAGTAAACCTGGGACTCAGTTGTGAATCTAGCCTCAAATCATTTTGAAGATCCCTGAACATTTGAAGAATATTTTTCATTCCAATATCAAAACGTGCATTAGAGATTTTTTCCTACATGAACTTGAGTCCTTTAGCCAATTCGATGACTTCTTCAGGCAGGTGGCAACCCAAGATGAACCCTACAGCCATTGATTCCTACTGCTTTACATGATCTTCCTCCAACCCTGTAAACTTTGGCAGAGGCAGTGCAGTACCAGTACTACTGGTAGTGGATCCAGGAACTAAGGCTCAGAAAAAAGAGGCACAGATTTTCAGTCAAGGTTCTGTCTTAATCACCAACCCCTTCTAACCTACATATAATTAATTAGATAGTACTTATAGAGTCAGAAAATATGTCTGGGTAAATTAATATTTATAAGGACTAATTGTGATCATGTTTGTCGTATCTATTCATGGTTTTCACAAATCATGGTCATGTTTATCATGTATGGATATGACTTGCACGAAGTGGTTGATCTGTTTTCCCACAGGGGCTACTTGTACTAAATCTAAAGAGCAATAGTTGATATAATACCATCGTCAGAAAAGAACAATTCTGGTGTTCAACTTGGAACATCAGTTGTTTCTTTAGTGGTATAATTGCACAAAGAATCTCCAAACTAAAGCAATGTTACACTGTACAGTTTACAAGGTATTGGCAGGAAAGCTGGCAAAGCCGAAAACAAAGATTCTGTAGTAGATGCAGTTTATGTTCATATTAAAATAATTTCAAATAAGATGACAGAATAACACCTGATTCTATACAAGGTTGCTCAGTAACACCCTATACAAATTCTCCTTTCAGGAGAGTGAATGAACAGTTCACAACTGTTCTAACACTATGTACATACAGAATGAATTTTACAGGCCTGAAATAAAATTACTATTGTTTTTCAACATTCGTTCAATCCTGATATATCCAATTTAAAATAAAACAAACTGGCTCCATAAGTTATAACAGTGTTCTTCCATCACTGAAATCCAGCTTGAAAAGATGTCTCACTATCATTTTCCAATGCTCGCTTAAACTAA